CTGCATGTTCTCACTCATAGGTGGGAACTGAACAATGAGATCACTTGGACTCGGGAAGGGGAACATCACACACCGGGGCCTATCATGGGGAGGGGGTAGGGGGAGGGATTGCATTGGGAGTTATACCTGATGTGAATGACGAGTTGATGGGTGCTGACGAGTTGATGGGTGTAACACACCAACATGGCAGAAGTATACATATGTAACGAACCTGCACGTTATGCACATGTACCCTAGAACTTAAAGTATAATAATAATAAAAAATAAATAAAGAGAAAGTGTAGTGTAACAAGAGACCTAGTAAAGAACCATGAAGAATGCCAACATTTAGGCCAGATGTGGTGGCTTACGCCTGTAATCCCAGCACTTTGGAAGGCCGAGGCTGGTGGGTCACAAGGTCAGGAGTTTGAGACCAGCCTGGCCAACATAGTGAAACCCCATCTCTACTAAAAATACAAAAATTAGCCAGGTGTGGTGGTGGATGACTATAATCCCAGCTACTTGAGAGGCTGAGGCAGCGAATTGCCTCAACGGGAGGCAGAGGTTGCAGTGAGCTGAGATTACACCACTGCACTCCAGCCTGGGCAAAAGAACAAAGCTGCATCTCAAAAAAAAAAAAAAAAAAAAAAAATTGCCAACATTTAAGAAGGGCTTGAGTGAAATATTCGAGTCAAGAACTAACCTGAGTTTCTCCTAATTCATTGATTTGGGGACTTTATGTACCACCAGGAATTTTGTTGTTTGGCTCATGTGTTACAAGTTATTGATGTGAAACTGATACTTGAACTTATACTGATACTTGAACTTATATTTGTTTCATTAATAGATACAGATGAGTAAATCTCAAAGTGTGAACCTTAAAGAGTTTGGTTTTACTCCAAAACCTTCCCTTCCTAGTATATCAAGGTACATGTATAATGTTAATATCTAAGGTAAAATATTTATCATAAACTCTGTTCCTGCAGGTAACCATTTATTCAGGGAAAGATAGTCACTGGCTACCATCAAATCACAGTTATCGTTTAGTTCCATAATGAAGCAATAACATCATAATGGTTTCATTATCTTTGATACCCCAAATTTATTTAGAACTCTACAGTTATGAAATAACACTCATTAAATCATCTGTTTCCTGGGAAACTACCTCTCCTATGTCATTCCCTTAGGTTCTCTCTTTATAGGGAATATAAACTAAGTGACAAGAGTATACTTTAAAAGTGGAAATGATGTTGGCATACAAAGTCTAACCTTTCCGTTTAGAAGCTCAGTCCATGCTAATAATATCTCAGATTTATAATACAAAAATTATACATTCGTGCATTATATTTTCTGACTTAAACAACAACATGGCCATAAAATGAGGTATTTTTTTGTCCTATTGTATAGATGGAAAAACTGAAGTTCATATTCCTAGTTAGCAAGCAGAAGGCCTCAGATGGTAACTCAGTGTTCTTTTCCTGTATCATGATGCCTACAGGACAATCATATATGTAATTTCCCTTCCAGATAAGGTCATTCTATATGCAGGAATGACATTCAATATATTTAAGAACTAGTACAGAACAGGAACTGACTCATTGGAATAGATACCAGCAGTACTTCCAGAGATCGTGGCTTTTGTTATCTAACTAAGGGCATGCAAAGAAGACTAAGCATTGGTCACTTCCATTAAACACCTGTTTATTTGCTACCCAGGCTGGGTCTAGTTTTTCATAGAAGTGTTAAATGAATAAATCATTATTTTTATTTATATGAATAAATAGTTTTCAGGCTTAGATTAATTTTCATATTTTCTTTAACTTTTTATGGTTTTATCTTTATGAAGGTCAGAATATTTAAACATATCTGAATTTCCTATAATGGAGCAGTGGGATCAGCCTGAAATCTACGGAAAAGTTAGACAAGAACCGTCTGAATATCAAGACAAAGGTAAATTACCATTGATACTTACTTGAGAGAGTAAATGGCTTATTACTACTTTGAATTGACAAGTAGTGTTATTGAAACACCAGCATCTGAAATTATTATAATTATTAACTTGGCAACATTTTTCTCTTAGATTATGGAATCATTTTCAAATTCTTGGGTCTGTTATTCAGATGGTCTTACTCTATTTTTTTTTAAAAAAATCTCTTTCCTACATAATGCTATTTTAATTTAAAGATACTATGAGGAAAATCTGAGCCAATAAGGCATCCTTGAGTATATAGAGTATTAACATACTGAATGATTACCTTCATATATTGTTAGAATTATTTAAAATAATTTTATGTTTATAAAACTAGTCCAGTTTTACAAAATATCAATGTGACCTTGGGCAAGTTATTTAATCTCTTTGGGCTTTAGTCTTAACTTTAAGATGAAGGTATTGAACTGGGTGACCTTTAATATCTCTCCAATTCTTAAACCTATGATTCTTACAATTCTATGTTAGTATGAGAATATAACTTAGGTTGTGGGATATAGCTAGTTTGTAATCTAGATTTGCTTTTTTATCTGTCTGTCATTTAATTAATGAGATAATACATATAAATTCAACACTGCCTGGTTCATCATTACTCTGGTTCCTGCAATTAATAGAGCATAATTTCCCTGAATAATGCTGTTAATAGCAGTCTGTTAAAACATGAGACAGTCCTATCCATCTTCAAGTAGCTGTATGTAGAAATGGTAAGCTTGGGGTTTTCTGAAAATCATTTCATGTGTTTGGCATTGGCTTCTGTTGAAATTCTTGTCTTCATGCTATCATTTTTTTTTCTTCATGTTGTAACTTTTTTTCCTCTAGTCATAATTTAAGATTTTACAGAAGCAAGGACTGGAGTATTCACTACCTCTTATGATACCATGGCACCTATTAGGCCCAATAATGAGATCAAGAAAAGTTCCTAATCTCACCTGGAGAATCAGAGCATTTATCCAACTTATTCAAAGCCTGGATATCATTACAAAGTGGATAGGAAGTATAAAATTGTCAAGCTTCTTATATTTATCTTTGTTCAATATCTAGCCCTCTGACTTACTCCTTCCTTATCCTACTACTCTACTACCTGTCCTTCTGCACACAAGAGCTTATCTATCCTTCTCTCTGCTTACTTTTGTGTTCTATTTACATGGTTTTCCTCCTTTTATTTCCCACTAACTATTCCAAATCCAATTTATAGTATGATATTAAAGCCTCATCTAGGTATCTTAACACCCAATAATAACTGTATCCCTGTTTTATCGAGTGGGCCACTTTTTTTAAAAAAAGGAGCTGTATGGTGTAGTAGTTAAGTTCACAAGATCTGAAAACAATCTGTCCAAGTCCTAGCTCTGACATTTAGTGTAACCTTTCATAGTCTACTTACCCACTTTGTCTAAATTCTTCATCTGGTTATATTTTAGGGGTTTTGGGATTAAATGAGATAATGCATGTAAAGCTGTTATAGTTTCTGGTACTGTTAGTAACAGTTAATTGAGTATGTTTATTATATTTTTCACATATTAGTCTTTGGTGGCAAAACATACTTTAAATGTATTCAAATACTGCTTTTGAGAATGTTTTTGAAAAGCACGGCAGTTTTTATCTTCTGTATTCCAATTTCAAAAAGGGAAGAAGAAAAAATGTCAAAAATTATATAAGAAAGCATGTTGAATCATAAGACTTAAATTGGAAGGGACCTTGTGCAGTTTCTCATTTTATAGTGAAAGAAGCCAAGACTCCAAGAGATTAAATGACTTGCCCCAAAATTTCATATCTAATTAATGGCAAGGCCAGAAATAGATTGCATATCTTTTGATTCCCAGCCCAATGCCATTTCTATAAAGTGATATTGACTTTTAGTTATCAGTGGAGAATTGAAAATTGAACCAATAGTAGTATATGAACTCTTTCAGCTTTTCACCCCACCCCTCAACTATATATTTCCCTGTCTCCGCATATATCTGTAACCATCTATTTGTCTTAAAAGAAAAATTATCTTTTCTTCCACTCGAGGCATATCTCTCCTCCTGTAATCTTAATTCTATCTAATCCTGCTTTCCCTGGAACTTTAGAAGATCATTATCCATCTCCTCTTTCCCATATTTTCATTGTTTCCTCTCCACTGTGTCTTTCCCTTTAGCATATAAATATGCTGAAGTCTCTTCCTTCTTCAGCTTCATGTCCTCATCTAGCTGGTCGTGACTTTTTTTATTATAAATGATAACAATTCTACTCAAAATGACTTAAGCACAAGAAAAGGAACCAATTGTCTCAAGTAAACTGAAAAGTATCTGGCCTAATTCTGGCTAAATCAAGGCACTCATGCCTCTGGCTTTCTCTCAATCTTTTAGCTATGCCTGTTGCTACTTGGCTTTACTTTTTAAATAGGGTTTCTCACATGGCAGGTAGCCCCTAACTTTCATCTTAGCAGTTTAGTAGCCTCAGTGGAAAAAGGTAGACTTCCCTGTTAGTTTTGGCAGACCAGAACTCATTGTAAATGGCCTCATTTGAGTCATGGGTTTATCACTTGATCAATCCCAGTAACCTGAGGATTGGGTCATTGTATACCTGTGGCCCCAGAGAAGGCAGGGCACCATGAAAAATGGCCTTACTAGGATCCAGTGGAATTGTAGAAGTAGTTTCTTCAAAGGAAAGGGAGGGTACTCCCACTAAAAGAAGGGAAAGCATACCAGGCAGACAAAAACCAGAATTCCAGCGTCCCCATACCCTCTATCTCATCACAACAAAAATTAATTGAAAGAGCAATTGACACTCAGTATGCTCATCACTTCATTATACCCTAGTTCCTCTTTATTCAATAAAATTTGGGTTTTCTCTGTGTAACTCCTTTGAAACTGTTTTTGTTCAGGCCATTTAGTGACTTTCTAAGTTCTGAATTCAGTGAACTATTTTCAACTGTTACTCTCTTTGACCTCTGTAGTAGTTGATACTTCTGGTCTTTCTTTTGGAAATTTCTCTTTGGTTTCAATTAAACCATTATATTGGTCTCCTGTTACTTCTTAGGCTGCATGGGCTTTTCTTCCTGTTGATGTTGCAAAAGCATTCTTTTTTCTTTTTATTCTTCTCACTTCAAAAACTTTTCCTATATAATATCACCCAAGCCTGTGTCTTTAATCACTATGTTTTGATAATTTCTAAGTCTGTATCTCCCATCTAGATCTTTCTTTCTAACTCCAAATTCATCTATATAATCACCTTCCTGGACATATCCACCTGACAGTTAACATATCAGACATGTCAGCATCTGAACTCTGTCCTCTTTGTACCTCACTCTGCACCTTCTCTTTTTTCCTTAGCTCGGTGAATGAACTCTTTTCTTTGTTAAGCTGCTAAAGGCAGAAAAAGTGTCCTTCTAAATGGCTCACCCCATGTGTAAATAATCACCAAATCTTAATTATTTTGCCTCCTGCACATCTCTTATATTTGTTATTTCCTCTCTATCCTTTCTGCTGATACTCTAGCTTAAGCATTCATTGTCTCTCATTTACTGCAATAACTTACTTTTCTCTCTGCTTTCAGTCTCATTATCCTTCAATCCATAATATTCCAGGTGATCTAACAGACATATCTGGTTGTGTAAACCTTCTGCTGAAACATCTTCAATAGTTATCCTTTGCCTGTAAGAAAAAAACAAAACAAAACCAAAAAATCTCAATATGGCAAATAAGCTTCAGCATGATCTAGCATTTAACTACCTGTGCAGACACAGTGGATCCTTCCTTCTCCTACTTTGTGCTCCAGAAATCCTGAAAACTTACAGTTCTCCCAAAATTCTCGGTTCTCTCATATTGCTGTGTCTTTTACATGGTGTTTTCCCTTCATGGCATAGGTTCCTGTCCTCTTGCCCTGCCTCACAACCACAGCTCTATCAAGCTGAAATTTCAACTACTCTTCCTTCATATGCTATCACCTCAGGAGTCTGTCATGTGGTATCCCCTAGGAAGAGTATGTCTCACTTCCATTGTAGGTTTAGATCCTCCTTCCTCTGCATTCCCATTGCACTCTGTACAAACTTCCATTTTTAGTACATTGTGTGTCTCAGTGTGTGCAAATCAACATACAAAAGTAGAATAATGTGAACTGTAGTTATAGGTACAGTTGAAGAATAAAGAAGGGTTTGGACAGGTGAAGAAATCAATTGATGGAGGATACTTACAGTGGAGGAAACTCAGTGATATGCTGGAGCAAGTTTATACTGACTTATGAGAGGTGATTATTAAATTTTCAAGAATCTTTCAGCCATTATTAAAAATTTAATTACATAAACATTCAATTAAATTATGTTAAAAACAAAGGCCACAATACTCAAAACTCATCACTTCCTAATTATTCTACTGTATTTTACTGTTATCTGTGTTCTTGAGGTTATTTATCTATGTGGTAGAAATACTATATAATAGGGTGCTGTCGTGCATTTTTTCCCAACTTCTTATTCAATTATGTCACATTAATAGCTTGAAATGGGTTATGGTGGGAACATTTATACCATAGGAATCAGCAAACACTACCAATCTGGGTTTGATTTATTGTTTTGCTTATTATTTAGAATTCAGAAAGTGAGGGATCAAATTTAATCATGTAGATTAAACAAACATGTGTTGTTATTGTAGCCATTACATTGTGAATAACACAAAAAATTGAGAGAATATTCCTCTAGTATTTGAAAATTACTATCTAATTCAGGAAAGAGGTTACTTAAGTCAATGATGAATGAGTGAAATCCCAACAGATGTCTTTGTTGTTTTATTAATACTTTCATCTTATTTTTTAGAGTCAACAAAAATATCAAACAACATTCACATGAGAGCTACATTCATTTGTCACTTGCAACCATAGCTTGACTACAGATAAAAGAGTGGCAAAACTTAATGAAAACATTCAATGAGAATCAATTAGATATATGGAATTTACATTTAAGCATACCATATATGTTATTGTTATTTATAAAATGTGTGCTGTATAGCCTTTACATCAGTAAAGATTATAATAAACTTATATATGTATACATATGCATACGCTTTTTGTAGAGGTAGCTATTAAACATTTATTACCACAATACTATGTAAAACTGTGCAACTAAAGGCATTTAGCCCCCCATAACAATCTTTTGAGGTAGATACTGTTGTTGCCTTATTTTGCAGAATCAAGAAGTTTGAATTACTTGTCTAAGACTACACAACTAATAGAAAGGTGGAATTTTCACTTAGGTAGTTTGGCTCTAAATCCAGACTATAAACAATGAATAACAGTGGGGACTTTTTAGCAGAAGAAGAATAAATATTATTTATTTTGGACAAATACTTTTTATAACAATACTGAAAATTAACTTTAGGGAGAAGATCTGGAGGAGGAAGGCCATTTTAGAAACTATTATAATCCAGTCTTAGAGTTATTCTAATATGGGAATTAAGAGGAAAAATTAATTGCCTAAAAAATTTATTGAAACTTAAATTTAGTGCAACTTAATACAGTTAATAGAATTGGCTGAATGCAGTATTCAACAATGCTTGACACAATGCTTTTGAAAACTATTACTCAAGAACTCTGTTTAGTAGTTGAAAGATGTGTTTGATATATCAATAGACTACGATGCTTGTGGTTTAAAAAGTACCTATAGTCTTTTATACATACACATAACAGATTTTTCTAGATATAACTATTCTACAACTTCAAATGAGAAAGTCTCTCAAAAGTGTTCTTCAACAGAAGTCTCAATATATCTGGAAACCAAAATTTGACAGATGTAGATAAAAGCAATTCTCTATTTTCAGAAGTTTTGAATGTGAACTTTGAATTGGGAAATGAAGTTCAGGATGATTTTGATGAGGAAAACTTAGAAGTTACTAGCTTTTCAACTGATACTGAGAAGACAAAAATATCAGGTAAAAACATACTTAGCATGGAATCATTTCATTAGAAATTCTTTGAATATTTTTCATTTCAGCTCCTGGAACTAAGTTTCTTTGCCTCTGTTGTGTGTGCTTGTTTAGTTAGATTTGGTTTGTTAAGACTGTAATTTTTAGCAAAACTGAAAATGTGACCCTTCTACAAAGAACATTTCCCCCCTAAGGGAAGAGATGAAGGTTATTCCATGATGATAATGTAGCAAATGAGCACTTTCTATTCTATTGCTCCTATCTCTTGTAAAAGTCAATTCAAATTGTTTATTCAATTTTCTCTCATGAAACAGACTATTTTGTTCTCCATTCTAAGATCACAAATGGTCTGCTAATATTTGTGAAGGACAAAAAAATTTATTTTTAAAACTATTCATCTGCTTGCAAAGAAAATAACTTTTATTTCTAGTTGAAATATGAAATTTTCAGCTTGAAGTAAATAAATAAATAAGAAAAAAAGGGTTAGTTTATCCTGTACTAGGAATTCTATTTAAATCATATACAACCCCAAAATAATGAGGCTTATTAGCTCTTTGAGTGAAAGGCAAATTTACTCCATTTCATTAAAACAGAGAATTGAAAATCTTGGCAAGTATGTGACAAGATAGCAATGGAGATACTGTCTCCCATTAAGGCTGACAGAAAGAAATCAGTCCCTCAGCCTTTTCAGTGCAGACTGGTATTCCCACAATTATAGATACCTCTTACTATAACCCACCTCATGTTTTTAAAAGAATATTTCAAAGGGAAGCAGTTAGAAGTTGAAATGTTATTGTTTCGGGGGCCTTAGAATTACCTAGAGAACTAATACTGCTTCTGAAAAGAACAGGATTTGACCACCTTCACAGAATGGGCCAGGACAATCTCCATGATGTGGGGTCATCAGGCACAATTTTGTATATCATTGGACAACTACTGTTCCCTACCTCGAGTTTAAATGTCATTGCGTACTGTAAGTTAATAGGCAATGTGTACTGATCCTTCGAGGTTGCCTAGTCCTAAGAGGGCATAGCTTTGTCACTGGGAAAATCAGTCTCAATAAATGACATTTTCCCTCATGTATAGAGCACTTTAAATGATTATGAACAGACCATTGAAAATACTGAGTGAACTTCAACTTGATCATTTATGTGAATGAAAATGTAAGTATATAAATAATGAGGGTGAGTGGAAAAGCACAAACTGTTTTTCCTCACTCTCACACCATGATCAGCCTAGAAGACATCTGTGACCAAATGTCTAGGTTTTTTCCCCACACACCAAGCAAGCAATCAGTTCCACAGTGAATACCAGCTGGGTGTCTTCCAACCCAGTAGAGTTAGAAACAGGGGTCAAAGACCAAATATGTGTTTTACAACAACACAGGTGGCTTGAGGACCTTTCAATATAGTTACTAATAAGTTAACCTGTATGTTTTATAGTTTTACTCCCTTAGCTTTGTTTCTATGCAAATTAAATTAGGTGATTGAGAATTATTCATTCCTTCCTTAACCAGATCATATCTGTTGGAGAGAGCATTGTAGAACCTGTGAAAAGCTTCATTCAGCTGTTTCTTGGCATTTTGTTTCAAAATGTTATCTCTTCACATAGGATTTGGAAACACTTTGAGTTCAAGTACCAGGGCAAGTAAGCTACCCCTTCAAGAGTCAAAGAGCAAATTCCAAAGAGAAATGTCAAACAGGCAAGTTTTAGAACTTTGGTTTGTAATAGATACAACTTTATATCCTCTTGACGCATAGTTGGAGATGGAGATCAAGGTATTAGATGTCAGAGATGCTAAAAGGTATTAGCCAACCTAAACCCTCTTAATCTTGGAGGTGTGTTTCTCAAAGTGCTGTTGTTAAACCACCTGCATCAAAATCACTTTGTGGTGCATATTAAAAATGCACATTCTTGAGCCCCACATTAGACCTACTGAATTTTTGTCTCTGGGACTGGAGCCCAGGAACCTTCACTTTTAACAAGACTTGAAAACTGAATAGGAGTTTGACAACTAGAACAGAGGCGGATAGGCATTCCAGGTATAAGAAAGCATCTGTAAAGGGATAAGGCTTGAAAAGGCATCCCATGCTCAAAGATCAGTAAAGTGTGGGATGTGTGGTCACAGCATAAAGTCTGTTGCTGAGGTCTTATTGTAAGGGCTTTTGAGTGCTGTGCTTAGACACCTGTCCTGTACCCAGACAGTCAGGGGTCGCAAACCCAACTGCCTTCAAGATTTGGTGGGCCAAGGCCAACTGCAGAGTGTCTCATCTAAAGGAAGCAGCCACTACTCAGCTCCAAACAGTTGTTACTATGCAGGCAATGTGAGTCTAGTGTTACAAAATATTCTGATTTTTCAAGAAAAGCTAGGAATCTGAAATTTTATGTGATATCTTATTATTTTTAAATTTTGACAACTAATTCAAAAAAATGTGATGTACTCTGTGGCACCCTCCTCCAAATAATAACATCTGCAGGCCAGATGTGTCCTAGGGCCCTCTAGTTTTTACCTGTATGGTAGGCAGTGAGGAATCATCCAAAATATTTAAGCACAGGAAAAACAATTTGATTTAAAAAATCATCCTAGCAGCAGTATGCAGAGTGAATCATAGGGAGTGGGACTGCCAGAGGCATGGTGGCCAATGAGAAAGACAGACTATAATGAGGCCTAAACTAGGGCAGAAGTGATAGGAACAGAGAGGTAGGGTTGGATTTTTAAAACATTTCAGAAATAGAGCAGATTCAATGTGGCAATTGATAGGATATGATAGTTGAGGAAGAGGGAAGAATAATGGCACCTAGGTAGGTGTTATTTAAGGATATAGGAAACAAGAGATTTAGAATGGAAAACATAATTTTATAAATGTTCAATTTGAAGTATCTTTACAAAAAAATGCAAAATGCATTGGGAAATATTGGACTTGATTAGAAGTCAAGGGAGAGAAATTATGGCCAAAGCCAAAATTTTCAAAACAGAAGAAATACCAACAGCTTTTTATTCAGGGTCTGATTTTCTACTTAAGGATTATTTATTTCTCTGCTTTAAAAAAATACTAAGTTTGTGGTATCCCTCGGAATTTTTGCTGTTATTTAGCCATTACTGATCATTAGCATCAGCATCACAGACTCATAGTTTTCATAGAATTCCAGAGCTAAGTGGGGGTCTTAAGTATTGTTTAGTCTCCCTCTCACTGGATCCTTGAATCACCATTCAACATCACTGGCAAGTAGTCGTGCTACCTCTACCAAGACAGTTTTAGTGACCAGGAGCTCATCCACCCTTGTTCCATGTTAGGATTCTTAGATCATTGAATAGCTTTTTAAAACATTTGCTTAAAATATGTCTTTTTATCACTTTGTTTCATTGGTTAAAACTCTGAGTCACATAGAATAAACAGATATAAGTATCTAAGTGAGACAAAGTTGTAGGTGTAGAGAAGCAAAAAGTAAATAAATCATAAGAAGGAAGGTAACAAGGCACATGAACAGTTTTGTGCACCACACCTTTAAAAAACAACAAATAATTTTGGAAGAGTTTAGAAGTGACCAACAGAAGATGTGTGGGTTTAAAAATGGATTCTAACAAGAAGCCTCTGAGAACCTGGTGTAGAAGTTGCTGCTGGGGAAAAGGCCTGTGGGACCTGAGGATTTGGGATGGAAAGGAGATTTGCTTTTTTATTTTTTTAAGTTAGAGTACAGTGGCATAATTATGGCTCACTGCAGCCTCAACCTCTTGGGCTGAAGATCCTCCCACCTCACCCTCTCAAGTAGCTGGGACTACACGTACATACACACCACTATGCCTGACTAATTAAAAAAAATTTTTTTTTTCTAGAGACGGAGGTCTTGCTATGTTTACTAAGCTGGTCTCAAACTCCTGGACTCAAGCTGTCCTTGCACCTCAACCTCCCAAAATGCTGGGATTACAGGTGTGAGCCACTGTGCTTGGCCTGCTTTTTCTTTTATACACTTTTTAGTTTTTTATTCCTTGCCATGTATATATATTTATTAGTCAGAGACAAAATGATCCAATCCTATCAGTATATGTGGTTCTTCCCTGTCCGCACCCACACTGCTCATTGCTCCTTACATGGCTGTTACATTTTATCCTTCAGGTGTCAACTTAAATGGTTACCTCATCAGAGATGCATTGATGATCATCTTTTAAAAATGGGTTTATGGCTCCACACCATTATTTCTTATGCTGTTGCCCAGTTCATTTTCTTTTTATAATTATAGAATCTATAATTATGTATATATTTGCTTTTATTCATTGTCTGCTTCATGGTAACTCCCTGACATTTTATTACTTCATACTCAGCTTCTAGTATAATATCTGGCATAGGGTAATGAAGAATAAATGTGTTTTAGTGAACGAGTTAATACAGAAGGTTCAGAGTAAATTCTTGCATACAGTTATATCTAAGAAGATAACTGGAGATGTCTACGGTGAGACCAGAATAGAGAAAGGAGATTAAAAGTTAAGCAAGTGGAATTTAGAAAATGTTTATAGGGTTCTATGTAATAGACAATTAAGCATTAGACTCAATTTTAAAGAAAATTGTTGAATAATTATTTCTATAGTCCCTTAAAAATAGTATTTTTTCCTAATTTGGGATATATAAATTATGGTTTGATCTAAAGGAAAGGAAATATACCAAGTTCTCCATTAGTATTTTGTGATAAATGTGATAAACTTTGATCATATTCCCCAAAAATCATTATGATCCAAATTAGAATGGTTTGTTTTTCTTGACATATTTTATAAATAATTAATTTTAATTTTTAATTTTGTTTCATCACATGAGATGTCAGATACTTCTTTATCAAATTCTGCTACGCCCAGGTTCAGTGCATCCTCCATGACAAAATTACCTCAACAAGCCGGAAATGCAGTTCTAGTAAGAAGCAGCACTTCTTTGTTTTTCTTTTAAATTTTGCCCAAGTGCTTAAACTTTCAATGATTGTTATTTTTTATCTCAAATGTAGGACCATTTTCAAGAAAGAAAACTACAAAATCTGTCACCAGAGATTGAGAAGCTATGCTTTACTTGCTCTGAAAAAAAAAACCAAATTCTTCAAATTATAAAAAGGTGGATTTTTTTATTAGAAACAGTGAATGCAAAAAGGAAGTTGATTTCAGGTAAGAGCTCTTTAAAGACACTTTAAGATTGTATCAATAAAAAACTTTTTACAAAGAAATTCAGCATTCCTTTTTCCTTGGTTCATTTTAAAGATTAGAGCCTGAATATTTTATTTATTAAAGACATTAAAATTTTCAAGCCTCAGTGAGCTAAGCTCCTTAAGATGTTTCAAATATCGTATACCTCAGTTCTTAAAAACCCATATATTTAATGCTGTTTATTCAAACATTATATTGACTTGATAAACTTACTTCTACTGATTTGAATACAGTATGTTAATTTTGTAAAGTGTAAAGTCATTGAAATCCAGATGAGATCAGCTAATTTTTCAAAACTTGAAGTTGTATTTTAGTTAACCAGTTATTTCACAATCAACAGGTTCAATGAAAATGTCAGATTAAATCTCATTGGTTGCCCCACTGCTGGCCATTTTAGAAAAGGAAACTGTGTTGCAGTGTCTGTCTCCTTGAAGAGTCAAAAGATTTGAGACCTGTTCACAGTGTTTTGTTTTTATTTGTTTAAGACTAGTCAAGTGAAGCAGTGGGAGTGCAGAAGAAACAAAGAAATTTGTAACTGGTTGTGATCAATTAGTTGTAAACACCACTTCCCTTGGACCAGGCTGTTCACATATTTATTAAATGACATAACTTTTCAATATGTTTAAAGAAATAACTTTACAGTTCCTACCATTTGCAGTTTATGAAGTCTAATTTTCCCCAACAGACTTCCTACAGAGTTATGCATACTGAAGTTTATTTGATACATTAACTTCACAGAAATCTTCATTTATTTTATTGTATTATTTATTGTGTATTTTAAAATAAATTGTGTTTAAAAATAGTTATTTTTACTTTTTCTTCTTTCTCCAAATATGTATCATCCTGATGATGAAGCTGATGAAATGAAGTCTTTATTGGGAATATTTGATGGTATTTTCTAAAACAAACAAATACTTTTTATATTAATAAGAGAAAGAATAAAGACACCTAATCACAAAGCACGCTTTTTATTTTTAAAAGGTTTTCATAATTATTCAGAGTTTTTTCTCCCGAATTTGATTAGCTTTGTTCACCTTTTGCAACAAAATATATGGACTGATTTATTTTCCTATTATATTGTAACTTCTTGAAAAGCTCTTTTACAGTGGCTTTGTTTCAATAAGCCCTTCAGTTAAGGGCTTATTGCACTTAGAAATAAGTTGCACTTAGAAATAATTATTTGGTTATTAATTGGATTTTGACAAGAACCAATGTAAAATTTTATTTTTATGTTTTCTTAAGAAGAAAAATATTCTATGAAAGCAAAATAATGCTAACTTAATGAATCTGCTTACTGTATGGATTAATCACTAATATTATTCCCATGTATTTTGTTTTACTAAAGATTTTTAAGAATCCAAGGTTATTTGAACCTACTGTTGTCTAACTTTGAGCAATAGTAAATGAAATATTAATCAGTATAGATTGTTGTTTTCATTTAGCTTGTTTTTCAGTGTCGTGAATTCTAAAACTTTATGTTGACTTTTACTGTAGTAAAAAGATTTTATATTTTTTCCAATGAATTACATTTCAAATTGATTTATTGATAAGTATTATATAGCTACCCTAAGCAATGTTTATCAAAATTTTAATAGGTACCATGAGAAGTTGAAGCCCACTTAAGAATTTTTAGAAAATATTTTTTTCTTTTTTAAAAAACTTTTATTTTAGATTCAGTGTTATCTGTGCAGGAGTGTTACATGGATAAACTCGTATCATGGGGATTTGTTGTACAGATTATTTCATGACCCAGGTACTAGGCCTAGTACCCAATAGTTATTTTTCCTGATCCTCTCCCTCCTCCCACTGTCCACCCTCAGGTAGGCCCCAGTGTCTGTTGTTCCCTTCTTTGTGTCCATGAGTTCTCATCATTTAGCTTCTACTTATAAGTGAGAACATGCAGTATTTGGTTTTCTGTTCCTTTGTTAGTTTACTAAGGCTTCCAGCTCCATCCATGTTCCTGCAAAAGACATGATCTTATTCTTTATTATGGCCGTATATGTAAAACATTTTCTTTATCCAGTCTACCATTGATGGGCATTTAGGTGGATTCCATGTCTTTGTTATTGTGAATAGTGCTGTGATGACCGTAAGTGTGCATGTGTCTTTATGGTAGAATGATTTTTATTCCTTTGGCTAGATACCCTATGATGGGGTTGCTGAGTCAAATGGTGGTTCTGTTTTTAGCTCTTTGAGGAATCACCACACTGCTTTCCACAATATTTGAACTAATTTACACTCCCACTAACAGTGTGTGTGTTCCCTTTTCTCTGCAACCTTGCGGCATCTATTATGTTTTAACTTTTTAATAACAGCCATTCTGACTGGTGTGAGATGATATCTCATTGTAGTTTTGATTGCCATTTCTCTAATGATCAGTGATATTGAGCTTTTTTATATATATATGCTTGTTGGCCTCATATATGTCTCCTTTTGAAACATGTTTGTTCATGTCCTTTGCCCACATTTTAATGAGGTTTTTTTTTTTTTTCCTTTGTAAATCTAAGTTCCTTAAGATGCTAGATATTAGACCTTTGTACAGATGCATAGTTTGCAATTTTTCCCATTCTGTAGGTTATTTCTTTACTCTGTTGATAATTTCTTTTGCTGTGCAGAAGTTCTTAAGTTTAATTAGATCCCATTTGTCAGTTTTTCCTTTTGTTGACATTGCTTTTGGCATCATTGTCATGAAACCTTTGCCCAGTCCTGTATTCCAAATGGTATTGCCTAGGTTGTGTTCCAGGGTTTTTATATTTTTGCATTTTACATTTAAGTCTTTAATCCATCTTGAATTGGTTTTTGTATATGGTGTATGAAAAGGGTCCAGTTCAGTCTTCTGCATACAGCTTACCAGTTATCCTACCACCACTTATTGAATAGGAAGGGAGTCCTTTCCCCATTGTTTGTTTTTGACAGCTTTGTCAAAGATCAGATGGTTGTAGGTGTGCAGCCTTATTTCTGGGCTCTGTGTTCTGTTCCATTGGTCTATGTGTCTGTTTTTGTACCAATACCATGCTGATTTGGTTGTTGTTGCCCTGAGTACAGTTTGAAGTTGGGTAATGTGAGACTTCCAGCTTTGTTCTTTTTGCTTAGGATTGCCTTGGCTATTTGGGCTCTTTTTTGGTTCCATATGAATTTTAAAATAGTTTTTTCTAGTTCTGTGAAGAATGTCATTCATAGTTTGATAGGAGTAGCATTTAATGTATAAATTGCTTTGGGCAGTATGGCCATTTTAATGATGTTCATTATTCTTATCCATGAGGATGGAATGTTTTCCCATTTATTTGTGTCATTTCTGATTTCTGTGAGTAGTGTTTTGTAATTCTTTTTGTAGATCTCTTGCACCTACTTGGTTAGCTGTATTCCTAGGTATTTTATTCTTTTTGTAGCAATTGTGAATGGGATTGTGTTCCTGATTTGGCCCTTGGCTTGGCTGTTGTTGGTGTATAAAAATGCTAGTTATTTGTGTAGATTGATTTTGTATCCTGAAACTTTGCTGAAGTTGTTTATCAGCTGAAGGGGCTTTTGGGCCAAGACTATGGGGTTTTCTAGATATAGGATCAGGTCATCTGCAAACAAGGATAGTTTGTCTTTCTCTGTTCCTACTTGGATGCCTTTTATTTCTTTCTCCTGCCTGATTGCTCTGACCAGGACTTCCAATACTATGTTGAATAGGAGTAGTGAGAGAGGGCATCCTTGTCTTGTACGGGTTTTCAAAGGGAATGTTTCCAGCTTTTCCCCATTCATTGATGTTGGCTGTGGGTCTGTCATAGATGGCTCTTATTATTTTGAGGTATATTCCTTCAGTACCTAGTTTATTGAGAGTTTTTTTTTTTTTAACATGAATGAATGTTGAATTTTATCAAGAGCCTTTTCTTCATCTATTTAGAAAATTATGTGGTTTTTGTCCTTAGTTCTGTTTATGTGATGAATCACATTTATTGATTTGCTTATATTGAACCAGCCTTGCATCCAGGGAGGAAGCCTACTTGATCATAGTGTATTAACTTTTTGATGTGCTGCTGGATTTGGCTTGCAACTATTTTGTTGAGGGTTTTTGCATCAATGTTCATCAAAGATATTGGCCTGAAGTTTCCTTTTTTGTTGTCTCTTCCAGGTTTTGGAATCAGGATGATATGGGCCTCATAGAATGAGTTGAGGGGGAGTCTCTCTTCCTCGATTTTTTGGAATAGTTTCAGTAGGAATGATACCTGCTCTTCTTTGTACATCTGGTAGAATTTGTCTGTGTGGTCCTGGTTTCTTTTTTTTTTTTTTTTTGGATGGTAGGTTTTTTTTTTTTTTTTTTTGGATGGTAGGTTTTTTTTTTTTTTTTTTTTTGAGACAGAGTCTTGCTCTTGTTGCCCAGGCTGGAGTGCAGTGGCGCGGTCTCAGCTCACTACAGGTGCGCGCCACCACGCCCAGCTAATTCTTGTATTTTTAGTAGAGACGCGGTTTCACCATGTTGGCCAGGATGGTCTCAATCTCTTGACCTTGTGATCTGCCTGCCTCGGCCTCCCAAAGTATCTGGATTACAGGCATGAGCCACTGTGCCCGGCTGCTTGGCAGGCTTTTTATTATTGACTCAATTTTGGAGTTCATTACTGGTCTGCTCAGGGAATCAATTTCTTCCTCATTCAGTCTTGAGAGGGCGTATGTGTCCAGGAATTTATCCATCTCTTCAAGGTTTTCTAGTTTGTGTGCATAGAGATGTTCATAGTAGTTTCTGATGCTTACTTTTTTATTTTTTTATTTTTTTGAGATGGAGTCTCACTCTGTTGCCCAGGCTGGAGTGCAGTGGCAATTTCAGCTCACTGCAAGCTCCGCCTCCCAAATTCATGCCATTCTCCTGCCTCAGCTTCCTGAGTAGCTGGGACTATAGGCACCTGCACACACCCAGCTAATTTTTTGTATTTTTAGTAGAGACAGGGGTTCACTGTGTTAACCAGGGTGATCTCAATCTCCTGACCTCGTGATCTGCCCGCCTTGGCCTCCCAAAGTGCTGGGATTACAGGTGTGAGCCACTGCGCCTGGCCTCTGATGCTTATTTTTGTTTCTGTCAGGTCAGTGGTAACATCCCCTTTGTCATTTCTAATTGTGTTTATTTGAATTGTCTCCCTTTTTTCTTTTATTAGTCTACTAGCAGATTATCCTACTAATTTTTTAAAATAACCAGCTCCTAGATTCATTGATCTTTTGAATGGTTTGTGCTTTGCTCTTGCTTCTCTAATTTTTTTCAGTTATGATGTTAAGTTGTTAATTTGAGATCCAACTTAACTGATATAGGCATTTAGTGCTATGTATTTCCCTCTTAACCACAGCCTTAGCTGTGTCCCAGAGATTCTTCTGTTTTTATCTTTGTTCTCATTAGTTTCAAAGAACCTCTTGACTTCTGCCTTAATTTCATTATTTACCCAAAGTCATTCAGGAGCAGGTGGTTTAATTTCCATGTAATTGCATGGTTTTGAGTGATTGTTTTAGTCTTGACTTCTATTGTTATTGCACTGTGGTCCAAGAGTGTGTTTTGTATGATTTCAGTTCTTTTGCATTTGCTGAGGATCATTTTATGTCCGATTGTGTGGTCAGTTTTAGAGTAGGTGCCATGTGGCAAGGAGAATATATTGTCTGTTGTTTTGGGATGGAGAGTTCTGTAGAGGTTTATTAGATCCATTTGGTCCAATGTTGAGTTCAGGTCCTAAATATCTTTGTTAATTTTCTGCCTCAGTGTTCTCTCTCATACTGTCAGTGGAGTGTTGAAGTTTCCAGCTGTTACTGTGTGGGAGTCTCCTTGTAGGTCTCTAAGAACATGCTTTATGAATTTGGGTGCTCCTGTGTTGGGTGCATATATATTTAGGACAGTTAGGTCTTCTTGTTGGATTGAACCCTTTACCATTATGTAATGCCC